CTACTGCCACTGCATTCTTATCTTTTTAGACTTCTGATTTAAAGCAACAGTCACGTAAAGAGGGTACCGATCTTGATAACGACCCCGAGGACGAAGATGCCGGGGATCCTACCTATAAGCCAAAGGTAATTGATGACGAAGATGGCGGCGAGGAAGAGAATGAACACCACAAAGACGAACTGGAAGCTGCAGACGAAGTCGTTGAAAAGGTGTCCGAAACTCCAGGTGTGACGACCACCGTCGATCCCCTAACAGGCCGAAGGATTCGCCAACGGCAGGTGCGCACAACGGCTGCCTATGAGGTTGCCCAGAGGGCGGGCATTGCGGGTCTGGTACAGCGTTTTGGTCTCACTGCAGCACAGTTTGCGGACAATGTCCGTGACCAATATCTCCGCCATGAAGTCGACCAATGCCCAATGTTGCCAGTTGATGCGGCCGCCGACTTTGTGTGTCCCCAGTTTCCCACTGCTGCCTCAGCACTTTGTGCTGCTCGGTATATGCTGGCATTCCAGATCTCACGCGAACCCGTAGTTCGACAACTGGCCAGACGTATGCTATACACGCAGGCTCTCATCAGTCTCTCTCCCACGCCCAAGGGTTTTAAGCTGATTGATGAGGGACATCCACTCTTCTCTGTGAAGTATTTAAAAAATAAACCCGTTTTGGATCTCATGGGAGACGTGCTGTATCTTCACATCCACAACGTAAGTTTTGTGCTTTGCTTGTTTTTAAGTACGCCTATATTATTTAGAATTGCAAACCTACTGGTTGTACTTAGAGCCCTTTCCGTACCTAGCACCTTTAGTTTAGTAGAATTTCAGATAAGTTAACCCAGGTTCAGGGTTATATTATCTTAACTGGGCCAAAATATTAAAACAGATCGATAACTAAAGAAGTATTTATGTGACTTAGGAAGGCAGATGATGTACCATTACAAGAGGATTTATTAGGATCGGTTAGCCGAAGGTCCAGAAGTGTTGGATTTCAACCCCTCGTAACCTATTCGTTCTACTTTATTCGCGGTCTTGTGCGGCAAGCTCGCTGCTTGGCTCCTATGGTCTTAATTTGGCTTTAACTAACTCAACTGTATGTGCGTTCTTTAATGTTTTGATTAAAAACGAGCCGGGAAAATCATATATCAAACTGTTCTATATTTTGTACGACAACCTTTAAAAGATGCTCTAGCAGTAGACTAAGGGATTACTGTTTTTCGTAGATTACTTAAATCGACACCGGCTTCTGAGTCAGGGCACAACCATCCTGCTACTTTTCCAGTGAATCTTTTATGTCAGCTCGCTCCTACGCGCGTGTTTGCGGGAGTCATATAAACTCAACTCTGCTTTCCTTTCTGCAATGGTGTCTTGGGTTGAATTTCTTTTCTGTGAGGTTAATAGTGTCAATCTTCTTATTGCTTGC